GACGATATCGGCTCGGGATCACGATCGTCGTTTCCCAGTATCCACTTTTCGCGCTCGTCGTCGCCACGCACGGACGATGGGGAGTGCGATGAGAGTGAGAGCGAGAGTGATGGGGACCTTGAGTCCTCGGATGAGCCCCCGCCCCCGCCGACGCCGCCGCCTGTGCTCTCGCGCACGCTTTATATTCAGATGGTACGTCCGTTCAACAGAACTTCAGGATATGGAGATTGAACCAGGGACAGGAATTCGTTGAGCGCCAGACACTGAAGGAGGTTTGTTTTGTCTGTTGCTCCCACTGACGATTTGTTCACACTTTGATCGCAGAGAATCGACGAAGGGCTGTCCGAAGAAGAAGCGTGGCGGCTTTTCCAGCAGATCTTGGAGGCCCTGGTGTATATGTCATCTCTTGGAATCGTACGTTGTTAGTTCAACTCGCCTTGACAAGCGCACTCACCGTTCCTTGAAGCTTCACCGCGACATCAAGCTCACGAACATATTCATCGGTAAGCGCCTTGCCCACAGTCTGGAAAACATTCTTATCCGCGTCCACCAGATGCCAAGGGCGATTGTAAAGGTATAGTTGAATGCCCCAGCTAGGAGTTTTTCTGAACTTAGCTCAGTTGGCGATTTTGGGCTGGCGACGTCCAACCTCTCAGCGGTGGAGCCGAGCCACCATCAGCTTAATGCCGCGGCTGCTTCCGACTCCGAAATGACACTCGGTGATTGCCGTTTCTCCGGGCGCTAACCAAGTTCTAACTGAATCTTCCCAGAGGTCGGCACGCGCCTCTATATCGCGCCCGAAGTGCAGTCCCGGAAACGCGGTCCTCGAAACCACACCAAAGCCGACATGTTCAGTCTCGGAGTACGTTGCGCACCCGCGTGTTAGATTGACGACGTTCTCATTCTGCTCGGTCGCAGATCGTGTTTTTCGAAATGAATTTCAAGTTTTCCACGGGCTCGGAACGGATAGCTGTTATCGAGGACTTGAGACAGCCTCTCATCGTATTCCCGGACAGCTGGGATGCACGCCGGACGCGTCAGCGGCAGAGTCAGTTTTCCGTGGCTTGCTACTCCGTTCCTTCCTTGACTCGTGATCATAGTCATCACATGTCTCCTGGACCACGATCCAGACACGCGGCCGACTGCCTTAGAACTCTCTCAAAGCCCTCTGTTGCCGGCCAGATTAGAGGATGAATATTTCAAGGGCGCCCTCGGGATGATGGGTACGTCCAACTCTTGTAATGTGTCGACTATTGTTGAACCAATCCTGTCGCAGTAAAACCCGACTCGCCTCACTACCAAGCCGTACTGTCCTCGCTCTTCAGCCAATCGCAACCCCCCGCCCGCCGATTTTTATACGACACGGAAACCGACCTCCCGGAGCACGCTGCGCTGAACGATATCGTCCAGGAACGGCTCGCATGTATCTTCCGGCTGCATGGCGCGGTGGATATGGAGCCGCCTCTGCTCATGCCGGCGGTTAAGCCGGCGGAGGAGAAGAACCACGCGGCGTTCATCGATCGGTACGGCGAGATCGTGGTGCTGCCGCCGAATCTCTTGATCCCCTTCGCGCGCCTTGCGGCGAAAGGGAATATTTCGCGGATCAAGCGTTACCATATCGCGAACGTGTATCGAGAAGGGTGAGCGCAGCCCCGCTTTGGATATTCATAGATATGTGACTTGATTCCAGCGCGGTTGCGGGACACCCGAAATTCCAGAAAGCCGCGCTCTATGATATCGTCACCACGGATGTTACCTCCGGGCCTCTGGCAGCGGCGGCTGAGATGATTGCGGTCGCCAACGAATGTCTCGATACGTTCCCCAACTTGAACGAGAACTACGAGATCCACATCTCGCATTCTTCCAGTCTGTCGTCGCCGCACCATTCGCATAGGTTTAAGGCTGACTCCGGGCGCAGTTGTGCGCATCGTGCTTGAACGCATTCCGCCCGCGCTACGGCCGTCGATCGTGGAGATAATAAGCCACTCGAAGTCGTCGCCGTCCCAGAAGCGCGCACTTCTGCTGAAGAAGGGCCTTCTTCGGAGCACGGCGGATGAGCTGGAGGCTTTAGCTGATACTGGTATGGTCCTTTACTTCAACGAGCGTTCGCTACTGATGGCGCATCCTAGACGAAGACATCGATGCCTTGCTCGCGAAGCTCGACAAGGTCTCTCCGTCGTTGACGACCTTGCTTCGGCCCGTCGTGGAGGAGGTCAAGGAGACGATTCAATATGCCATTCTGACCGGCGTCGCCCGGCCTATTTCGTTCCACCCCCTCATGCTCGGAAACCATCACGCGCACTTCAAAGACGGGGTGCTCATCGAGGTCGTCCGGAAGCACAGGCGCATGGACGTCCTCGCTGCTGGTGGACGGTCGGGGCTCCCTCCTCTCTTTCACTCAAAACTCACTACTCACTGACCTTCTCCAGGTACGACGGCCTTATCACGGCCCAGGCGACGCCGGGGCAGAAGCTCGAGACGATCTGCGCGATGGGGCTGCAGATCGCGGTCGAGAAGATCACGGTGGCGCTGGCGGCGCACCAGGTGTCGTCCGTGCGCACGCTCGTCAAGCAGGAGCGCTCGTTTGGGTTCTGGAGCCCGCGCCGGTGCGACGTGTACGTCGTGTCCTTCCACCCCGGGTACCTGCAAGACCGGCTCGAGGTCGTCGCGTTCCTGTGGCAGCACGGCATCAGCGCGGACTTGATGTACGAGGGGAGCATCCCCGACGCGGAGCACGAGAGCTATGTGGACATCTGTAGTCGGGAGGGCGTCCTGTAGGCGTCCGCGTCCTCATAACTTTTGTTCTCTACTGACAGATGATTGGTACGACAGCTTCTCCGTGTATCCGCGTCCGCGGACGGGGCGCAGGGACCAACTGGCATTCAAGGTTAAGAGCATTCTGAAGGGCACGGAATACGAGCGTGCGTGTCTCGCGTTGCGCGCTACCCCTACTTCTACTTCTGATCGTGGTGCAGTGACCCGCCAAGAGCTCGTCGGCTGGCTGCAGCACCAGATCGCGGAGCAGAAGCGCGTCGACGCGAGCACGGCGGGCGCCCTGCGCCTTTCCGACGTGGGTGTCGCGCACTCGGTGCCGCCGAGCAAGGAGGTCGCCGCGGCGTCCGCCGTGCAGCTGCTCCTCCCCGTCGACATCAAGAAGCAGCGCAAGCAGGTGAAGCACCTCTTCATGGACCGAGGTTAGTCGTCTATCGCTTACATGCAAGTCACCTTCTCATTCGACTTCGCGCAGCGTTCGAGACGGGGCTGGAGATTGAGGCGGGGGTGCACGCGGGGATGCCGATCCTCGCGGTGGACGTGCTCCCCGGCGTGTTCGACGCAATGACCAAGAGCCCCGCGTGGCTCGCCGACGAGGAGGTCTGGAAAGCGCTCTCAAGTGCGTTTCCGGTGCAGCAGTGGGCGTATGCACAGCAAATTCGGGAGGCGGCGGCGAAGCGCAAGGCGGAGGGGTACGCGTATATCCTGCTCTTCGCCGTCCGCGAGGAGAGGGTGCAGCTGTTGAAGCTGAATTAATTGAGTGTATTTAAGTAATGCGTTCCATGTATGCATGCATATGCAGTTAGTTATGTCACGTAGGGAAATCCCAGCCAATTCGATAGTACGCGTAGGGCACTTCCTCGGTTGGGCGGCCCTCGACGTCGCAGACGATCGTCTCCCTTGAGAGTATGGTTAGTGCTGGTGTGGGCGAGTCTGGCAAACGACCGCGGAAAATCGCCTCGACGCTGCTCGATTCGAGTGCGTGTGTCGGACGGAGGGGGATGACGAGGTGGAATTGGGATTCTCTTTTCTGAATGAGCAGCTGGGCCACGCAGGAGTGGATCCACACGGCGTGCTCGGGCTCGTATACGATATCCGCGCCCACAATTAAATCGAAGGGCTCGTCGAACGGCGGAAGTAGAGCCGGGGGGTTTTCGTGCGCGAAGGACGACCAGTCGAGGAAGTGCGCGGAGATGCGTGGACTGGGAGTACTGTGGGCGGCGAAATTGGCCGCGATGTTTGCGGCGAGGTTCTGCAACACGTCCGGATAGAAGTCGCTGCAGAACACCCTGCTGTCGAACCCCATATGCTCGGCGATCTTCGCTAGTGCCAGGCCGACCAGCCCCGTTCCTGCGCCGAGCTCGAGCGCTCTGACGGGCGGCGCGCCGTGCAGGAGCCCGAACTCTGCTGGCTCAGACGAAATAATCTCGGCAAGGACGCAGGCGCCGCCCCACGTCTGCGCGCCGACGCTGGCGAAGTCGCCGTTGTCGAGCGGGATGTCGCGCAGCGTGATGCTAATGTCCCCATGCACAGAGGGGAAGGCGAATGCGCGGTCGATGACCCCCGCGCCTGCTGTTCCGCCGCAGTTGGCGAGGAGCGCCGATGCACGTGCCAGGACATTTTCTACGTCTTGAGCAGCGCCCTGCAGGCGTTCGGCGTTGTTGAGGAGGTAGGTGAGCCACCGGAGCGTGTACGCCCGCTCGAAGTTGTCGGAGCGCAAATTTTCGAGATGGTCGGGATCGGCTACAGTAGGCGGGGGAAGAGTTGACGGAGGGATTACACTCGATTCACGAATTCTCCGGCGTATTCGAGATCCGCGAACGGGAGGGGTGTAGAGCACGCGCAGGTAGTCGATGCATTCAAGAAGAATCAAGGGAGTCAGAGTCGCGAGACCACGTAGAGCGGGGAGTCTAAGACTTGGAGGTTCCATGCGATTAACCTAGATTCAGAACACCTCTGCCCACACGATAGCCTTGGGCAAGGTAGGCGTTCAGAAGAGAGTGTGATGCAGCTTGTCGGTGTTTGGCGTGGGTGCTGGCATTCACGGTCACGTTACTCGGCAGGTCAGGAGTTCAATTCAGCGCGTTTATATTCGTGTAAGTATTATTAATCTTCAAACCCTGCTTGACCAGGTTCGGATCCATACATGCGGTGGATAAGTTTGCCTACTGGTTTCATATCCGAACCCTAACTCGGACTAGGGCCCAACATTCCGTCCGCTTGCGACATCCGATATGGTGTAGCGGTAACATTACCGCCTCTCAGTGAATTCCCTCCTTTGGCGTAGTCAGTAAACGGAGGCTCAAAGCACCTTGAACGCGGTAGCCCGGGGTTCGACCCCCCGTGTCGGAACTCTTTTTTTGCTTTTTACGCTGAGCGGAGCCTCGCTGGGATAATTTGGGGCAGCCCAGGAGCTACGATAGAGTAAACCAAAGTGCGACGAGGGTACCCACAATTCGGCAACACTGGTGGCGATCTGCTGAGCGTTTTCCGAAGTTTATCAACAGTTGGGATTCCACCACTGGGAACCGACTAAGTACATTGGAATTATATTTGCAATCTGTGCATCAAGTTAGCTGCACCGAAGGAAGTGGGAAAGAGCTACTTCTCGTGAACACAGGCTGTCCAAGTTCAAAAATTACGTGTGGGGGGTTGTTCAACGTTCAGCGTCTGAAGTACTGCTGATGATCCGGTCGAACCAAAACCGGTGCATGCTAATTTAAATTTTATGTACAAGATGGATTAATGGTGCATGCCAACGTGTGCGCGTATGAATAGCGGCGGCGTCCTGCCCACCCTCATTCGGCATTTCCCGATGCCGGAATGCCGTCAAGCCGTTTACCGTTGACGGTCTCTATCCGCCGTCCTGTGAACGCACAGCTTCTGCCAAGCTTGCTGGCCCGTCCGCAGGCGCAGTCTTCCCCGCAGTTCTTCAGTCCTCGAGCCGCCGGGGTAAACACGATAACAGCGTCGATGTCCCCACCGACTCCCCGCTCGATTTTTTAATTTTCCTTCCAGGAAGCGGCGACGAGCAGCTGGAACGTATATGTATAGTACGGCAGTAGCATCAGATGCTGACTGGTAGCGGGGCAATAGCGGGGTCGACGTCCCCGCTTTTCCCTTCTCCTTCCCCCCACCGTGCTCCCCGCAAAATCGCCATGCACCTCCCCGTCTGGGTGCTCGCTCTCTGTCTCTCGTTTACAACCCTCGCCGCGGCACAGGTGCGCCTTGGATCCCTGAGCACAGCATCTGCCCGCTCACTTGTTGCTCTGCCACCCACAAGAGCTCATCCTCGGATGCCGATGCCAGTGTTTCCACCTCAACTGTCTCAAGCGCGACCGTCCTCGCGTCCGCCAGCGCCACAGCGCCCGCCGTCGAGTCTGGCACCACCTTCACCACGTCCTTCGGCGGCGAGCCCCCGTCCGTCGTTACAGCCTTCGCCACCGCACCCGCGAGCAGCACGCCCAGCTCGATGGCGGTCCCCGTGGCTGCGCCCGCGAGCGCGGGCATCGAGCGGGGCCCGATCGTCGCGGCCGCCGTGGGCGGCAGCATAGCATCGTGCCTCGTCGTCCTCGCCGGCACCCTCTTTTGCTTCTACCACCGCGCGCGCCCCGGGCGGTCGCACAGCGTCCGGTCCGCGGTCGAGGCAGGCACGGCGGAGGGGGAGGCACGCCGGCGGTGCGACGCGCTGGAGGGCGAGCTGCGCGCGCTCAGGGCACAGCTCGCACGCCTTGAGGCGCGGGTTGACGCGAGTGCGAGCGCGGGCGGGGCGGTGCTGTACACCAACGAGAAAGACCCGGCGGCGCTCGAGAAGAGCGCGGATGGGGCGAAGGAGTCACCCCCGACATATATGGATTAATATTGAAGTTTGCGTACTGGTGTGGTTTCGGTTCTGGTTTCAGTGCAGGACGCGATGGACAGATACTCTAGCTGATACACGGACGGACGGACGGATGTATGCGTTCATTCCCAGTCAATAATTTCCATCTAAATATTATACTATCTCCCCCAGCGGGGTTTCTGGCGAATTTGAAGTTGTGGCTGCTCAACATTTGTTCGAAACGGATTCCTCGAACAAACGAAGAAATCATCCGAGCAACCATACCATGCCTTGAGTATGGTTCTGCTATAACCGCCCACTGATACGCTAAGGGCGCGTCTGAGAGCGCGGGCTGATATATAAAATACCAGGCTCATCACTCTGAGGGCCATAAGACTATGTGTGTGCGAGTGGGTCAATCCATGTCCAGTGCTCGACTGGCTGGGAGCGAGGGAAAGGAAGGGGAAGGGGGAGTGCGAGGTATTCGCAAGGTGGCGAGCAGCAGCGGGGACGACTGAATGCCGGGGAACCAATCGAAATTTCGACAATGAATGGAGGGACTAAGAATTTGGTCTTGGAGGATGAAACGGACCCCATTTTGATTCCGACCTAATCGTATGACCTTGTATGCCCCAAATATATTGTAACAGTAGCACAAGAGTGATACATAGACAGTACCCATACTGCGATGCTATTGAGGAACGTTAGTCGTGGATTCTGAACGACAGTCGAGTTCCAGGGTCGTCGACCTTCGATTGAGATTGGACAATGTCAATGCGCAACTTCGTCTCTCGAAATAAAACTGCAACTACCGCCTGATGTCTGATGTCATAGAGCAAACTGTCCGAAGCTCAACATCAGTGGAAAGCACTCGCAGCCTTCCAAGGATTATCGACTCGGCGATATTTAGCGGTATGGTTGGCATTTCCGCTCTGAGCCAAAAATTGGCAGTCTCCGCCAAACTGAAACTACCGTGATTCGCTCGATACACCAGATAAATAAATAAGTTAATAGTCCACGGCCTGAATGAATCACGCAGGTAATAGCATCGGCTGCTTCTTGCCGGTGTACTGCGTAGAATCCCTTACCGTCATCTCTACGTCGCCGGATACAGGGGTTGAACCGTCTTGGCCAGGCTGGTTGAATGCGCATCAGTATGGAGGTAAGCGCACCAGTGAAGAGATAGCGTACGTGTGACTTGTACGTCCCCGCGGGATAGTCGGTACGAGTATCGATGCGGACCTGGGGAGGGAACAATCAGCGACAGGCGCGCGCAGAATCTGGTGGGTGCATTGCATACCAGGGCTGACCGGTAGATATCTATCGCATACGGTGTCAGCTCAACTGCCTTTTCATCAGAGAGAACCGTACGGATGCCACCATACTCTTCGGCCTCGCTCCGCGCCGCAGTTATCCGCTCATCGCGCGTCGAGAGATTCCCGCCCGAAGAAGTAGTCCGGGACCCTCCCCGCCGAACTTTGCGGACGTTCAGATTGAACAACTGAACAAACTTTTGTGAGCAACGCCGATCCGGAGCTCGATGAGAGACGAACCAAGGTAAGCATGTTGACGCGGCCGAGGCAGATCGCGATGCCGATCTCGGCTGAGCAGGATGAGTCCCGAGCGTACAAAAAACAAGGAAGGCGCTCGCCGTTGCTCTCGTTGTTCAACAGGTACCTGATATGTTTTTGTGAGTGGGATTAACACGAGGGAGACCTCTGGAACGTACGCGATCAAGGTAGCCAACGCAAGCGTCGCGCCGCCAGCGCCGGTTTGGATCGTTTGGATCGTCAATCGGTTGAGCAGACTGGCGGAACAGCTGGGTGTAAGTATCAGTGTAGAACGACGGTGAGAGCTTACCTCTCCGTCTCCTTGAACGACGTTTTCACCTTCCTGAGTTTAAACAGCAGCGCGGCCGCGATCAGCACGTCTACGGTCGCCTCAGAGACAAACCAGATGCTGTATTCGAATAAAGACCTTGTCAGCAGGACGGGGGCGGAGGAAGCGGTGGGTACATACGTCGCGGAGACTTTGACTTTCGCGCGGTCCTTGAATGCGGTAAAGATTGCGAGCGTGATACCTGAAGTCAATCCCGCGGCCAGCTGCGCGACATGGCTGAAATCAGACGTTGGTGGGGCCGAGGGCGAAGGGCATCTACCGCGGCGAGCATGAAGAGCATTAAAATCCCGCTGACAAACCAGTTCTTGGTGCTAGAACGCAGTCAGCCCCCAGATCCGAGACGGGACGAACTACGCACAGGAGCCAGTATCTCACGATGAGGAAGGTCTGCACCACAGAAGACACAATGCAGGTACAAATGGTAAAGAGTGGGACGGGCTGTGTAATTGGTTAGATGGAGAAGGTGCGCGCGTGACATGGCGTACCCAATACTGCTTCGACAAATAGAGCTCGTCTCCTGAGGGACGAATGGGTCAGAGGCGTCCAGGTATTATGGGCGAAATTCTACCCCAATGAGTCACCGCATACTGCACAAATGAGCATGCATGATTTGGCCGGGATACAGAGATGCGCACCAGATATACTCCGGCGTAATTTGCGATCATCCCTGTAGCATCGAAGATGCCGGCGAAAATGACGAGCGTCTGACGAAAGTATAAGCGCTAACGCCGATACCAGGTCGGACGGAAGGACCTTGAGCATCCAATTGTCATTTTTGAAGTGACCGAAGTAGTAAACGACCTTCAACAAGCTTAGCACATCGCCACCAGGGAGCCAAAAGCGCACGTACCTGGTGGATTTGGACAGTGTACAGCAGCTGGCGTTCTTCGAGTTTGGAACAGTCACGACGCGTTGCGAGATGAAACTCACTGAGCCAACCCATGTGCCAACAAGCAACGCCCTAAACGGATACGAGTGAGGTGGTGCGCCGTACGCTCAACGGAAGGAAGTGTACCCAATAACGATGTCGAGACCCATGGTGAAAGAGCGAGACTCACGGCGCAGGAATGAAGTTATTTTACATAATATTTATATCGTCGCATTCGTGACATCTTTCCCCCCTGTTACGCGGAGCAGATAGGAGCCAGGAACGGGATGCAGCTGATGGAAAATAAGGGCTAATGGGGAAGAGAGAGGGGCGCTCGCTCCGACGGGGCCGGGTGGCCGCTGACCAACTTGCCGAGCTTTCGTTCATTGCGATCTCGGTCGATAGAAAGAGTTTCATGGTTGAAAGCATGAGGATGTAACCAAAACACACATCATCGTTTCAGCCTGCGGCAAACAGACATAGGCATGGAAGGAGCTGTCTTCTAATCCCCAGCTCAGACCATGGAAAACGCAGTGGATGGTTGGCAACGCTGCCTGCTATTTGAATGCTTGGAGTGTGGAGACTTCAGCCAACGCTGAAACGAGATGACCGGCTCAGTGGCAACCACTTGATGGATGATGCAGTAGAGGGGGTGGGTCGAAGGCAAGTCAAATGAAGGTGCGGAGATGTGCGCCTTTGTAACTCGTCGTATCCGAGTTATCACATCTTCGAAGGGTGCAGGTGGAGATCGGGAGCTCTGCCGTG